TTTATTTACCAATATATTTACAATTTATTTGTATTAATTTCCATTAAGTTTAGATTATTTTATTGCATTAGTACATTTATTCGTGTCTCATTCTCCAACATGCTCCTACAATAGTTCTTACTCACTTCAATGCATTCATTGGAGTGTGACGCAAATAAATCTAGGTTAATCTAGTGCGTTTTGACAGAGCGAAAGAAGGATGAAAAGAGAAAGAGCACAGTCTAGTACTTCGCCTATTTCGCGCATGCGCACTCCATTTTAGGCAACATAAAATCGGGAGAGTTGCGCTACTGTATATACTGTGACACGGTGCTTGTTTTCCTGCTGGATTGCTAGCTAGATCAGATTCTTGCCATTGGATTGGCTGCGATATTGGCACTTTCAGCACCGCAGCCAATACGGTGGCAAGATTCTAATCCAGCTAGCAATCCAGCAGGAAAACAAGCACCGTGTGCCGTAGGCTTTAGGCTCATTTCTGATTGATTAAAATAGCGAGCGGCCGCCATTATGCGCAATGCTTCACCTTACTACTTACACCATGGTTGTAAGCTGAATACAGACCATATACTATATTTCATTGGGCGCGTTCAGCGGACTCAACAGTTGAGTGAGCGCTTGCTATTACTAGTGTATTCTTCTAGATCTAAAATTTTGATTGGATAATCTAAAAGAATACACCAATAACAGCGAATGCTCACTCAACTGTTGAGTCCGCTGAATGCGCCCATTTGATGACGAACACATTTTTTCGAAAATTATTGCAATAAATTAGTACTGCAGATATAACCTCGATGAGAATTACAAAAAATGACGAGTGAACCCTTTTTCATTTGAACGTCAGAATATCAGCTTCTTTTTCTTCTTCTTCTTAATTTATGGCGAATTCGATTGGATGCACTAGTGCGCACTGAGTGCACCTGAGTTCATGTTTCTTCCTTTTCTTTCCAGGAGAAGGGAAAAGGAAAAAAGATGAACTGGTGCAATCACACTACACTGGTGCAATCCAATCGAATTCGCCATTAGTTGGCCCAGGTTCCGAATTAACGTGGCCAGTCATACCCAAAAAGATATATATGAGAGTCAACGCACAGTTAAAGTCGGCAACACTTTCAAAAATTGATGATCAGAATATCAGCGTCGAAGCTAGAGTTCCTCTAGTAAGAGTTAAGCCATCAGCCGGAAGCCGCCATTTTCTGGGACCACCCGACGTGCGAAGATTGAAACTGCATATTACGAATGAATTCGAAAGTGAACAGAATGAGAGTTATCATATAGGAATTGACTAGTGCAGATGCTATTGTTTCTCTTAGATGATATTCTATTAGCATAATACAAAACTTTCATCGTACACATTGAGTTTATATCTCAAATCTAGCTTAGGTTATTAAACCGTCTTTGTTCTTTATTTGATTTTACATTACCACTATCAGATTTCAAGTATATGAACTCTGTAGAGAATGTTTGTGGGTCTTTAATTTGAAATAGGTAATGAATAATTTGACGTAAATATCTATTAATTTTAACAGGTATCTTACAATTTATTAGTATATCACATAAACATTGCAGATTTCAAAATAAAAACTTCATTGCATAGAATGAGTTTATATTCGAAATCTTTCTTTTTGTTTTGAAGCCTTCAGTATAGCATATGTGATAAATTTTTTATGTAAATAATTATTAGTTTGAACAAAAATCTTATAGTAGTTGCAATGAAACATTCATCGCAAAGCGATTTCAGATTTCAAATTATCACCATTTAGTAAATCTTATTTAGTGAATCTTCTTTATTTATGCGTAAGGTTCAGCATTTCCAGATTTGAAGCGAAATGATTTTCTAATTCTAAGTTTATGTACTATATATTAGTATTCATATAGAAATTCCAAGTTACATTCAATTCTCTGTATTTTTTAATAATAAATCAAAGAAAATAATGATAATTTTGTGATAAGGAAACAGAATTCGGAACATAAAACTTCGATCATAGATCTTACCAAGTAAACGAGTCAGTTTATTAAAATAATTTTTTCGTGACTCAAGTGAAAAATAGAAAGTTTTTAAATACGTGTCAAATTTATAAAAATTCAAAACCTTATTTTTTGATAAATTGCAATTTTTATCTTTTTCATTCGAGTTACGAAAAATTCATTTTAATGTAATTTAAACGTGAAATTCTTTTTCGTAACTTAATTACATAATTATCGCATGGGAAATGATTGTCAATAACGTTTAAATTATGTTAAACTTACCTGAGTAAGAATTTCAATTTACTTTGA